CCCTTTCCAGGCTGCTCCCGTCTGGCCTGGGTGCCCTGTCCTCCCTGTGTTTCCACCTGTCCTGCACATTTTCATGCCATCAAGACTCAGGGAGTCTGCAAGGCTGGCCATCTGCCAGAGCTGGCCAGGCTAATTCAGGCAGGATATCTGAGTGGCTAAGCTGTCTTACTGCAAGGGGAGCCAGGAAGAGGAACTGGACAGATGACTGAGCAGAGCAGGTGGCTGGACCCTGTCTGACCAGTTGGGGTCCCAAGCTGTTGCTCACTGGCACATGCACTTGATTTTTTTGAAAACATGTTTACTTTATTCATGATAGAGTGTGTGCACACGCATATGTGGGATAGAAGAGAAAGAAGGAGCAGTCCCCTCCACAGGGTCTTGTCACACTACAGCCCCCCTTCCCCAGCCCTCCAGCTCCCAGGACCCTGGGCATGTGCTCATGTACCATCTGTTTTCGAGCCTATCCTGGGATCTGAACTGTAGTCAGCAACATGGCTTCTGGCACTGCAGTTCAGTTTGCTGCTGACTGCATTACCTAGGCTGACCCACACATCTGATTTTTGCCTCATTACAAACTTGAGCCCAGCATAGTGATGAGAGGCAGAGATGACATTTGGGTACAGAACTCCATCCTGGGGAATGCTGTGAAAGCCAACACAGCCTGCTTTAGAGTTCAGCCTCTCTGGTGCTAACCCCTGTGCTGCAGGTGAGGGGTAGAGAGAGAGCCAGAGAGCAAGGGACCCAGCCCTGCCCTCAGGGAGGTATTAAACATGCGCTACTGAAAATACCATGGACTGATATGCACTCAGAGTGGGTGCGAGTCCCTGTCTCTCTCCTGAGCTTGGTCTGAAAGGCCAGTCCTGTTAGCTGGCTTCTCAGGCTTCCCAGAGTCCTCTGGTGCAAGCTGCAGAGGGCAGGTTTGTGATCCCAGCTCTAAGATTTACTCCCTCCACCCAAGGCTGGCTGGACACTGCTAAAAAAGAAAGAATGTTTTCACTTTCTGCAGTCTGTGTGTCTGTGCGCATGTGTGCCCATACCCTTCCAACACATGCACTGTTTCCTACGGGTGGACTCCAGAGCCAAGTCCCCACGGTCCCCAGATCCCTGTGTTTCATCAAAGCAGGAATTTACCAACATCTCTGAACCTGACCACTGGGCCTTTAGGCAACTGCAGGTCACCACCACTGTAGACCACAGACAGAAACATGCTGTAGTTGGTTCAGGAAGGGAACCACAGGAAGTGCTAGCAGGCTGTCCACCCTCACCAGAAAGATTCCATGGGAAACTCTCACCTCCTGATGCATTTGAAGCTGGAGAGACTGGAGGATTATAAACACATGACCCTGGGCTCCAGGAAGCATGCCCGTCAGCTCCTCTATGCCTGGGTATGTGGGATGAGACAAGGCCGCAATGTGGTGGAATGTGACAGAGGGGTGACCAGACAACCTGCCTCTGACCCCAGGAAGGTGGGACAAGGCACTGCTGAGCCCCCTCCTGCTGTGTTTGAGAGAACTCTCTCTTCAGTCAGAGCTGTGAACCGGTGCCTAGGTGAGAATGGCCAGGCCAGACTGTGAAAGTCCCTCCTCGTGACATTGGCTGGTCTGTCCCTATTTCCAGGGTCTAACTCTTCTGCAGACTTTGGTCTTTCCACAGCCACACCGATGCCTCCCCAGTAGAATTATGGGTCTTAGAACTGTCAGATTTCCAGGAGAATTGCCCATTGTAGGGCGTGGTGTGGATGGCACTCAAAATATGGCTCCTGGCCCGGAGGACGAGGCATTTGGACCTGGGCTTGCCAGGCCTGTGGACCCAATGCGAGGATGCCGTTCTGTTCCCTGGCAGTCCCCAGCTGAAGGTGTGGGCACGAATGCACCCTGGTATGGAAACGTGCTGTTACTGTGTCTGTTAGAAATCCTGAGACAGGCTTCGCAGATCAGTCGAGCAGGGTGTTGACTGTCGAATGTGATTTCTCGGGAACCTTGCTGCAATGCTTTCCTCTGGAGTCCAGGCCATGAGATCACACTGCAAGTGAGATCGTTATGTTTCTAAATTTCTCCCGGTTTTTGAAAAACTAAATCATTTTCACGGGGTGTGGCTGAGCCCACTATGCCCCAGATCCCACCTAGTTTGGAAAAGCCTCCTGTGCCCAAACTTCACAGGAAATTCTTTGATCAGGACTGGACATTCAAGCTTCCCCAGGTACTGCCAGCAATGGAAAGCTGCATCTGCCCTCTTAGTCACCCACGTGGCCACTCTCCCCTGGAATGAATGGCTTTCTTTCCCAAGAGAAAGGGAGTCCTTGGAGACAGCTGACAGTGTTTCCGAGCAAACACCAGGAAGACGGTGGCACATGTGAACCAGCGTCTCTGCAAACGTGGATGCCACTGTCCAACCACACGTGGAAGGAATGCCTCCATCCCGTGCCGGTGTGGCGCATGGGCAAGCCGATGTCCAAACCGGTATCAGGGGAAACACCGGAAGAGGTAGCCCAGGTTAACCTATTACATGGGGATTAAATTGATCCATTAATCAATAAATAGTCACTGGCTGTTGATGATGTGGCCAGCGTGCTGCTAAGTACTAGGAGGCACAGCAAGATCCCTGGATTTAAGACTTCAGCAGTTCAGCTGGAAACTGGGCCGGAGGGAGGACAGTGGAATATCCCACTGAGCGGAGTAGATGGGGTGGTAGGGAGCTACAGCTGGCCTGAGTTGGAGCGTGGGGGATCAGGAAGGAGGAAGGGGGACAGTCCAGGCTCTCTTGGGTGGGGCGGGAAGATGCAGGGAGGGGGAGGCCAGGCTGAGGAACCACATGTAAGAGGATAGGAAAGAAATAGTGGCGTGTCCTTAAGAAGGCACTTGGTGACAAGTGAAGGCATTCTAGGAATAAGATGTCTCATCGTATCCATGGGAATGGACAGGCGTGAGGTGGGGGAATGCTCTGGAACAGAGTGAGCAGCGTGGTGAATGTGGGAGACACATGGAAAGAGAAGTGGCGGCCCTTAGAGATGGGAAGCCTGCGAGGCCCCCAGCAGAGGCAGGAGGGAGGGGCAGGAGGACAGAGGGAATCAGGAGTCCAGGAAGGAGCGGAAGGACACGTGTTGGATTCCACGGGGACAGACCGTCCAAGCAGTGCTGCTGTCAAAGGAGGCTCGAGCTGGAGGAACGGCGATGAATACGAGGACTGCCAGTGGGAAAGGTGGAATTGGGGTCCAGGTGATGGCAGGAAACAAAGGGTGAATGGGCGGGTTTGGGAGACGGCTGCTCAGTGACCGTCACAGAAGCGCTGAGCACCGAGGGCCTTGAAGCCCTCTGTCGGGCTAGACAGAGCCATTGGCAGGAACTGGAGCCCATGGACGATTACAGAGTTGGCCTGTCAAAGTCAGCGCTGGAGCTGAAAGGACTGGCAGGCTCCTCCGGGGCTTTCATGTGAGGACTCAGCAAAGCTCGGTGTGTTTAACAGCAGAAAGAAGGGCCAGCAGGGAGGAAGAGGTTGAAAATGCCGGCGAGCTCAGAGGTCCTGGCATGGACGAGGGCCCAAGGCGAGGCATCTGGTCTCACTTGAAGGAGCAGCTTCCGAGGAGAGAGAGGAGAGCCCTACCCCTGACTTGGCAGGAGGGATGCAAGTTTCCAACAGCCTCCAGAGTGTCCGTGGGCCAGGTGAGGTCAGCCATAGACAGGGGAGAGTGAAGTAGGAGCAGCAAGAGGAAGAGGGGGCAGCTCTGGACGGACAGCTGCAGGCTGGGTGCAGAGACAATGAGAGACACGCGGAGAACTGCCGGGGCTGCAGAGGTTCAGTGACATGACATGGCGAGTCCGAAACAGCACGGGGCTTTAGAGCAAGAACAGAGAGACATGGTGCCTGCCGAGAAGCTGCACAGCTGGGGACTGGGGCGAGTACGGAGCCAGTGATGCGGGAAGGAGGGCACTGTGGGATCGAGAGGCGGAGGGGCTGGGATGAAGGGAAGGACCTCAAGCGTCCCCTGCCGCTGACACGCCGGGCTCTGCACCTGGTACACGGAGTCAGTGATAAACTAGCAGGGTCCCTCCCTCCGGGAGCTTACGTCCTGGGTGAGGGGACAAGGCAGGAGCAGTGAGACTGCAGAGTCTGGGACCAGGCAGTCCGGGTCACAACCCAGCTCTACCTCTTCCTAGCTCTGTGACCTGGAACAACCCACTTAACCTCTCTGTGCCTATCTGTAAAATGGAGAGAAAAGCAGAAGCCTACGTGGGGTAGTGGTGAGACGAAACCAGAGAAAGTGTGGGGAAGTACTTAGAGCGGTGCCTGCCCCTAGGAGGTGCTGTCAGTGTGAGTCCTTATTAGCGGTAGTGTATCAAATGGGGAGGAGTGCTACAAAGAGCATACATTAGAGCCCTCGGAGTGGCAGGCTGAGGGTCGGGGAAGCCTTCACTTTAGCTGGGGAAGCCTGAGAAGCACTTTCTCGGCCATCTGAAGAAAGCAGCAGGAGCAAAGGCCCTGAGGCAGGAAGAGCTGCAGTGTGGCCTGAGAGCAGTGGGAGGGGAGGCCAGAGAGGCCGTGGGGGCAGCTCCGACAGAGCCTGGCGGAATGGAGAACTTCCTCCGCTAGTCGTGAGAAGCCTTGGAGGTTTGGAGCCAGGTGATCTGGGCCCCTGTGGGGCTATGGAAAGGCCACTGTGTGCAGACTGGCCTACGAGGAGGAGTGGGCGCGGGCTGGGACGCGGTCTGCGGCACACACGTCGGCGTACTCCAGGGCGGCAGAGCAGTGCCGACGCTC